TGAGATGGTTTCACTTGGGATATAATCATTGTATTCTTTTTTCTTCTCTCTTGCCTACCGCCCTGTGCTGCTGCCTCTGCCTCCCTCTACCCCAGCACTGCTGCCTCTGATACAGAGGCATCAGCGTGGAGTCATGAGCAAGTGGGAGCTGGAGGTCACAGTGAGCCGGCTTAAAAGTCGGGTCGCTGCAAGCACTGGCTCTTGGGGAGTTGTCTGCCTCCTCGCTCTGCTGCCTCTGTATCAGAGGACAGCAGTGCAGGGAAGGGGAGTGGAGATGGCTCCTGCATGTAAACATGTAACCACTGAAATTTTTAGTAGTTACACATTTACCTAAATAAATGCATTTTAACATCCCTAGTAAAGCATACTCTTAATCTCAGGCTCTGTATGCTTCATTCTCTCAGGTGCTTGGTTGTCTTTTTGTGTCAGGGATGGAGACAGTTTCAAGTGAATAGGCCATCATGGCCATATTGACACGTGTGTTCCCCCTATTAGCACCTAGTTTATCATAGTTTAGCTGCCAGTTCAACATCATGGTCCGTGACCATTTGATGGCTTTGAAGATCATGGATCTTAAACTGTTAATAAAAATCAGTTTGGAAAACAGCAGAGGAACTGGAACACAGGGATGAGGTATTTGCAGAGGCTGGGCTCATAAAGGCAGGCTCTTAGGGTCTGCATGATATGGAAGCCTTTATGTTGTTTTCACCTTCAAACCAGAAAAAGGAAGTTGTAGGAATTTAGACTGGAGGTGACAAATGTACTAGTCATTGCCCAGATTCTTGTCTGAGCAACATTATTTTAAGCAAGCTAGAGGTGAAACAAGGAGATTTTCACCACTGATGATATGTGGTTAATCTAGGCTTATCGAAGGGTCAGACAGGCTATGAGGTGTTGCACCACTTTGATTAACTGAGACAAGCTTTGAATGAAGGGGAGGATAACATCCTGGATAATTCTTCAAAGAACTTCCCCTTTTTGACCAGCATCACTTCGGTGTTGTCCAGAATGAGTTTGAACCAGCTGTTCTACACTCAGCTACTGAACTCTGACATCTTTTTGATGACATTGGCTGCCTCTAAAAATAAATTGGCTGTCATGAACATATTGGATTTGGGCCTATAGCATATTAGCAACTCTCATGTAGACACTGAAAAGGAGGCTGGTTCAAGATATTTTCTTGTGGGATTCTACAGGATAGAGTTTATGAAGAAGAGAAGCTTATCATCATTTCCTCAGTCTTGTTGGAGAGGAATAAATGGAACCATTGTAGTTCGGCAGTTTTCTCCAGCTGTGGCACATAAGCAGGTCAAAAGCATTAAGTCGTACTACATTTCAGCACCCATGTTGAAAGCAGTAGAGAGCAAGTAGGATAGATGCTGAGATGTAGCCTGCACCCATTATCGTGAGTCTGTGATCTTGAAGCAGTACTAGTCTTATCGCCATGTTGCACCCCACTACAGCAATTGTGAAGCAGCCAGGGTATGTCTACACTACAACGTTAATTCGAACTAACTTAGTTCGAATTAGTTCATTCGAACTAAGCTAATTCAAACTAACGTGTCTAGAACTAAAAACTAGTTCGAATTAGCGTTTTGCTAATTCGAACTAGTAAGTCCACATTGAGTGGACCCTGAACCAGGCTTAAGGATGGCCGGAAGCAGTGCCGGCAGGGCATCAGAGGAGGACTTAGAGCGTGGATATGCGGTCTCAGGCTAGCCGAGGGCTGCGCTTAAAGGGTCCCGACCCCCACCCCGGCCAGACAGTTCTAAGGGGTGCCCCGCTTGCAAAGCAGTCCTGGCTTGGAGTGCCCTGAGTGCCCACACTTGGCACATCACAGCACTCGGCCATCAGCCCGGCTGCACTTGCTGCAGGCTGCCATC